AAGTGGTTTAGGGAGAACAATTCCACTGTTGTTTTTGTACATTTCAAAGTTTACAAAGTTTCAGAACAAAATAAAAAAAAGTTTTGGTGTGGGGTTTGTTTTTTTTTTTTTAGAGGGGTGTGATATGTTTGCCAGAGACCAAAAATATCACACCTAATTCTACCATCCTGTTCCTATCTCTGTACTTACCTTGCTAACCATTTATCTCCATCTCATGACAAGTCCCAGCCTCCACTGGGCTAATGCATAAGGACAAATGGTTCACAAAATCCACTGCCCTGTCTAGGGCACCAGCCAGCAGTGGATGGCTGGAGAGAGTATATAAGCAAACATATACAGCGATGCTTCCTTAGGTACACATTTCCAGCTTCCAGAGTCCATACGTTAGGGACTTTCTGAGCCAGAGATCTTAGTGTTTAAGCAGCTCTTTGTGAACTTTTCCTACATGAATTTGCTTATCTCCCTCTTGAGCCCATTTCTGGTTTAGTATTCAGAATACTGTTTTGCAACTTCACCCACAGACCACTGAAGCACACAACTACACTGGGGTTCTGCAAGAGTGGGTTTTTTGGTTTTATAGTGCGTGATTTAAAAAAAACAAAACAAAAAAAACCCCAAAAAAACCCACCACACCAAACAACCAAACCTACACATTTTTCTGTGAGATTAAAGTTTTAAAATTCTACCGTTCTTTCAAAACAACGTGTAGTGATCAAACTTACACTTTCACTTTTAGGGGGAGGGGGAGAACACCACACAAGACACTGAAAAAAAAACCAAACCCCAAACTCCAAAAAAAACCCATCCAAACCCCAAAGTCCCAAGCAACATTACTACAACATATTCATACCTTTTAAACACATTCCCTACAATAAACACAACAAAGCTCAAGACATTTCAATTGTATCATCTAAACATAAAGGTGTAACTAATATTAAATGGAAAGCGGGGAGGTTTAGATTAGATATCAGGAAGAAATTCTTCACGGAGAGGGTGGTGAGGCACTGGAAGAGGTTGCCCAGAGAAGCTGTGGATGCCCCATCCCTGGAAGTGTTCAAGGCCAGGCTGGATGAGGCTTTGAGCAACCTGGTCTAGTGGAAGGTGTCCCTGCCCATGGCAGGGGGGTTGGAACTAGATGGTCTTTAAGGTCCCTTCCAACCCAAACCATTCTGTGATTCTATGTTCTGAAGATAAAGGTGTAGTACAGGTGTAATATAAAAAAAGAGGCACACAGCATTCAAGTTCACCCAGTACTTCTCATTAGGACTGTAACCACGGCAGTGGTATCAGAGGCATAATGAGCACGGACCAGGTATGAAATACAAAGTGATATTCTTGGAAATATCCTTGATTTAGAGAGATCCTGCCTGAAAGGAAGCAGAGTGAAACCCTTAGATTTACACCCCAACCCCCCTGTACACTTGCCATCCGTGGACAAAGCACGCAATACGTGTATGCCTTGAAACACAGCACTGGCGAGCACTTGCCAGGGCCACCTTTGCTTGGTTCTTCTGACACACTGTTTGTGTCTGTAATCCCTCCACAGAAACCAGACATGCTAACATATACTTGCCAGTTTTACACAAATGATGAGCTCTACTTGCTTTTAATTACCTACACCACTATAATAACACATTTCCCTCAAAGTTCCAACTCTAAGGAGAACTACAAGCATACCCTACTTCGAGAGATATGAGAATGGAAGCAGTCATGGACGCCTAAGGGTTACAAAAATCAAATTACTTTACTTTGTCTGTTTCAAAATTCATATCTATATATCCAATGTACAAAACCAAACTAACAAAAAAATCTTTTTATTTATTTTCCCTACTTCATTTTGCTCCTCCCCTCAAGAATTTCTGGGGCTTAGGTAAGAATGCACTGAGGAATTCAGGATCTCTTAATCCATGCACTTTTCGTGATGGCATTTCCCACTCTCCTTTGCTATCAGTTCAATTCTTCGCTTTTTCCTGCTCCCTTCCCTCCATTGCAGAGGAAAGCTCAGTCACCTTAGATGACAATGGAGAGAAGGTGTCCCTGCCCATGGCAGGGGGGTTGGAACTAGATGATCTTTAAGGTCCCTTCCAACCCTAACCATTCTGTGATTTTAAAAGATTCCCAAACTGTCCTACAACCCTGTTATTTTTATATATTTATAAGAATATATTTTTTATATATATGCGCATATTTTCATATACACATAAATATCTACAAAAACATAGAACTATACTGGTGCACCTCCACTGGGAAAAGACTGAAGCATGCCTACTGCTAACTATCATGAGAACTTGCAGCAAAAGAGGCTACAAATAAGATGAAAATAGGGAACCTCCCCTTTATACTTTACTAGGCCCCAAGGAATCTGACCAAAAGAGAGGAATTCATTGGAAAACTGGCTTTATCTGCTCCATCATCCATGGAACAACTTGTCTGCATTATGGAGAAATTCTTAAGAGACATAATCCCTTAGTAACACTGTGAAGTGTTTACCCACTAGAGCTGTGCTATTTGCATTCTTTCTCATTTGAAAAGCATTTATATATTTTGAACTGTTTACTGTAGTAGCTGAGCAGAATGGGGAGAAGCAGCAAACATAATCAACCAGCTATCTACAGACCGTAGCTTCAGGGAATTACTAGGAACATACCTATCTTTGATGTAAACACATAGACCAGACACTTCTAAAAAATATTAGACATTAATATAAAATTACAAGGGAAAAAAAGAAAAAAAAAGAAAAGAGTGAACTGAACAATATCCACTTCAGATCCCCATTAAATAATCCCGTTTCTTCCATCTCGTCCATTGTTTTATGCCTTGCGGTTTGGAGTCCTGGGGGCAGCTTGTATGAAGTGGTGTCTCGGACATTCCTCCACACCATGTTCTAAGAAATCTTTCTTGCCCAAGTGCTCTCTCTCTTCTCCACATTTCTAGCACTATCCAGGAAGCATTAAAGAACATGCCCTGCCTTGTTCTTCAAAGTGAGTTACTGAATGTAACACCCTACCCCCAGCTCCTTTTACAGCTGCCATGAAGGCCTCAGAAGACAACTTCTGTTTCTAAAAATGCCCCTCTCAAGATCTGGAACAGGGAGATGTTGCTCAGTCTTCCTTGCCACTCCTACTCCTCCCAGTCCATTTTCTCCACAAAACACTTTCAGTCTACTTTTATCTGTTTCGCTCAAACTTATCTAGAGATGGGGAGGAAGAGTAAACGAAAGTAAAGGAAGAACCCCAGCTAGTTTTCCAGGTTTCAAATTCTCTGAGGTAATCTCTCTACTCTTCCTCATCTCCACACATGTAACAGTAAAACACAGGCTGTGCTCGTAGAGCGATGCTTTCTAGCTCCTTCGTGGTTGTGCACGTACAAAAATCCAGACTTCCAGTTTTGCAGTAGGATGTAGATGCTGCCGAAGCCACAGCTCACATAAAAGGTAGAATGAATTGAAGAGGCAACCTGGCCTCCTCTGCAAGGCATTGTTGTACTATCCTGTTCTCCTCTTTGTGAAAAAACCTTAACGCTTCAGGGAGAGATGGGTTAACAGCTCAGGTGGGTGCACTTCCACCACTCGGGCACTGACACAGTCAGATCCTGGAGCTGTAGAGCAGGAACAGAAAAGCAGCAGCTAAAGCCTAGATAGCTCCAACAGGCACTGAAGGAATTTGACAGAGTATGTGAACTACAGAAGTAATGAATTCCCTCTATCAGTCGTGGCAGGGGAAAACGATCCTGCACAGAGTAACGACCATAAAGCCTGTGCACCACAACACTCTTACTCCGTACTGACCAATGGAAACAAACAGTAGCTTTTTGAAGAAACCAATAAAACCAAACGTTGATGGGGTTTCAGAGCCACCTCTAGCTGCGAAACTGTGAACATCAATAGGATGTGCAATTTTCAGATTTAGAGACTAGAAGCTTCCCCTCATGGGGAAGAACATGCATGCAGTGCTAGTCAGTGCAAATTCTACCATTTCTGCAAGACAAGTTTTTATGATTGTCTAGGGGTGGAGAGGAGGGAGCAACAGTAAAGCCACGTTAATTCATGTATTTGGAGTGTGGAATTCAAAGGATCTAAGTATGCTCAAGAAAACACTCATTTGAGGCTTCAACCAAAGCTCACTGAATTCAGTTAATGGAATTTTTTTCCTTCTATTTCTAACAAATTCTAGATTATACCTTTTGATACAGAGAGCTGCAGGATATGAAGAAGCAGGGATGAAACACCAGCTAGGAATAACTGGATTATTCTCATACTCACTGTGTGCCATAGATTAGGCGGTTGAAAGAAGAGCAAGATGGAGAAGAAGAAATTTATTGAGAAAGAAACCTGACTTTTAATGAACACTCTCTCATTTCTTCAGAAATGGAGGAAGGTCAAGTATTTCTCCCTCTTACAGTAAGGTCTTTCACTCCTATTTCTGCTCTCCACAGCCTACTCTGCAGGACACAGTTCCCTCTTTCACCTACCTGAGAGAAATTTCAACCATTCAATAAGCAAAATGAAAAAATCACTCAAGAATCCAAGAGAGTTCTCTCCTTTTCTTTAGCCACCTGAATTAAGTACTTATTACTATGTAAATAAAGCTGCAGCAAACTAAGAAGTGATTTAAAATCCCACCCCGTATTATTCTTCTCTCAGGACTAATATTTGTAAAACCCAATATTCCTAAACCCTAATAGTCATGTATGAAATGTGACATTTTCCTCAAGAATAATTCTAATATCTTCACAACAGATTTTTACAGGGCTTTTAAAAATAAGGAAAAAAATGAAAAGACACACAGAGGAAAAAAAGCTATGTGTCTTCTCAATACATAAAAATAGAGGAAAAATAAATGCAGAAAGTGAATGCATTTATGGAGAGTGAAAGCATTTATGCATTTATTTACACATTTTGCAGAGAGATCAGTCTCCCCAAAAACGCTGACTCAAGTTTTTCTATAAGAAATTAGAAGATAACAATTGTATTTTAAATGAATAATAAAGTAGTAACATACTTTTCAAACAAATGTCTTCCAACTTCAGCGTCTACAGCACTCAATGGATCATCCAAAAGATAGATATCTGCATCCTGATACACAGCTCTGAAAGATTTAAAAGAAAGAAAGTCAGTATCACAAAGTCTTACATTTGTTTACTTCAGTCACTAAAGTCTGACCATTTGGCAGTTTTAGAAACAGCAAAAAACACTAGCCTGGCCAGATTTACACGGGCCTTCTGTCCCCCACTCAGCGTAGCTCCACGATCTCCTATTACTGTTAGGTCACCATCTGCCAATAATTCCAAGTCCTGTGAACGTCAAAGAAGAGATAGCAAGATTTTTTTTTTTTTTAAATCATTTGAACTTCAAAGACCAACAAAGCTGCTTCAACTACTTTTCAAATAAGAAAATGTTATTATCTCACATTAAAATACAATGATTCATACTACATGAAATATCCACAGTTACTTTATGACCTTGTACCTTCAGCAAAAGATAATTAAGAAAGCAGGAAAAACAGGTGAGATCTTAAAGTTACTACTTCTACAGCTTTGCCAGAGGGAAATGCACTACTGTTCTTAATGTTACAAGGAGTATTTGCTGGTGATTCAGAAGATCAAACTAAAAAAGTGTAACAGTAAATTTTAGTAACACTAAAATAGAATGAGCTGTCACAATAAATAAAATGGAACTATTATCAAGAAATTATCTTCCATTTGCCAGTGTTCCTAAGAACTGCATTACTTTTAATCTTACTGCAATGGATCCAAGAGAAATAACCACATTTTAACACAATCTGGTTAATTTATGGGGCTTGTTACTATGAGTAAGAGAACAAAATGATACAGTGTTCCATGACATATTATTGTATTTCCTATTCAGGAAACACCAAAGTTTTACATTAAGCTATGAAACATATTCTGAAAGTTTATTCACAGCTTTTATAAGATACATAAATTTGAAAGAAAACTATGAAAGCAAATCTACCATCAAATATGAAGTATTGGAGTTTTTTTAAATGCAGTTTGCTGTCTTTTAAAGTCACTAAAACCTTAAGTTTAGACAACAGCATGTGACTGAACATCAGTGGGAGATATTAAACCTTTATCTACCATGTGTAAGAACCTCACAAAAAATTTTTCATCTCAGTAACCATCTGCTTTTCACCTGTGTCGCTGCTGACAGGAATATCGTAGCATGCTGCATAAAACCTTTTTAGCTGCCAAGCAAAATGTCTGTTTCTCGACAAATCTGGCTTAATCCTCTTCTATATCTCATGTCAAACTCCTTTGCATACAGACCTTTCAAAAGTATTTTTTCATAAAACTACTTGGGCTCAGCAAGGTCTCCAATATATAGCACTAAGGTTCTTTTGATAGCCGTTAGCAATGCATGATATAGATGGCATTTCTTTCTAAAAAAGCATATAGGATATTTAAAAAATGGAATTCATAAAGAGCGCTAAGCTTGATCATTGTTTTACCCCTTTATTGGATTTAAACACACACCTAACACAATACCAGTTAAAAGGGCTAAACATGATGATGAAATAAAATGATTGGGAATAGCATTTTCCCAATTTGCCCGTGCTTCATGTAAGCTACACCTCCCTCTAGTGAAAGTTTTAGGAATTACAAGAATTACTTAGATGTCAACAATAAATGATGTCGCTTAACGGCAATATTTCACACACTACTACTAATAATCAATTCCATATATTACATACTGCAGAACGTACCACAAGTCTGAAAGAACACTAAGATAAGAAGAATAAAGATTGTGAAAATAAAACACACAGAGAAAACCATACCTTTTTAAGAGCACAGACTTTTAAAACTTTTTCGTACTTTTCTTTCTCATATTCCTTGTCAAACAGTATATTACTTCTCACTGTGCCAGAAAACACCCAAGGCTGCTGAGAAACATAGGCAATTCTTCCAGTAACATTTATCAAACCTTTGTCTTTAGGCAGCTCACCAAGTACAGCACTTAAGAGCGAAGACTGGAAAAGATCAAAAAATACAACAAAAAATGAGAAGTTTGATTGCAGTAAAGACATCACAAAGATTAAGCAGTGTTTACTGGCACGATGGCCTATTTCATCCTGTCACTCAAACTACTGCTAACATTAGAAGAGCACTAATATGTTTTACATGCAGCCCAGAAGCAATGTATGAAGTACTGTTTAACCCCAAACCATCTCCTCTCCACCCCCAGAAGGACAGCTGCATTGCTTGAATGCCAGTACCTTGATGTGAGGTGTGTTGTTATACGCAGGAAGGAATGGTACATTTTCAAACTTCTAGTCACGTTTAACAGACTCGTCAAAACCCCACAGAACAGAGTAAACACTGAGACTTACTTTTCCAGCTCCTACAGGACCAATCACAGCCAGTAATTCCCCTCGTCTGACAGTAAATGAAAGTTGTTGAAGTGCTGGGCTTTCTAAACTCTGTGGATTTGAGAAAAAGTTAGGCTTCCTTGGTAATGAAATATGCACCATCATAACAACTCTCTAAAGAATGCACATAAATCACTGTAATTCAGCAACCCATATGCCCACCATATTTTCTGGCATGCAGTTTGCTTCTTCAGTAATTCACAAACACTTTTGAAAGACCCTGATCCTTCCCCACAAACAAGTCACAGAGCGATCCAGGAATAAGGAACCCAAAGGCAGCAGAAGCAGTGCCTCCCAAAAGCCTGTGCATCCTGGCTGGAGCTCAGCACAAGGCTGGGGTGTCAGCCTTGGAAACAGGAGCTCTCTGCTGGCCATCGCAGCGGCATTCACGGCCCCAGCACGGCACCCCGGTGACTCCGAGTAGCCCTAGGAATCTGTGTTTGCTCTAGTCAAGGCTCTATCCAAAGTGAAAACAGAGAAATGCTGTTTGATTTTATACAGCTTCATCTTGTATATCATGGATTCTCAGAGGCTTTTCACAGACAAGATAGTGGGTTATTTGTATTAAAACATACAACCCTAGGATTGTTTGTTTAACATTCCTTTATGGCATGCCTATCCTTTATGTTACTCTACTGATAAGAGCTTATTTCCTAACACATTTTGTACCACTTCTATCAAGGTTGTAAAACTGCCTGTTTCTTGTGAAAAGAAAAGGATGCTCATGTCTTTAATAGCTATGCTAAACCACAATTCCTAAGGGCCTGGTGCAGCTCCCTCTCATTAAAGCAAAACAACCTTGTAACAGGATCTGCCTTTACATGCATCTTAGACCGCACTAAGCATGACTGACACTAAAATGCAAACAGGAAAATATATGCATTTAAAAAAAAAAAGAAAGAAAGAAAAAAGAAATCTCTTAAGCTTCATGAAAGAGCAGCAAGGTGAAGATTATCTAGTGCACTTTTTAACAGCTTGCAGGCTGCTTTAAATCTCCAGCCACCCTTTGAATCTCAAGAGTCTGAAGAGGCCACCACTTAACCCCACACCATGGATGCGGCATGACCAAGTTCTGGGACTGCGAAAAGGGGAAGCCTGCAACTCGTTTCAAATTATTTGGGAGAGACAAAGGTACAGTATCCATCCACACCTGTGATGGCTGGGAGAGCTGGGCTAGCACACACACATACGCCCACTTCATGCCAAGAGAAATGCTTGGTTAGGCCGCATCATACCCAGAGCTCAAAGCTGCACATCCCCCATCGCAGCTCCCACCTCGCAGAAGCACCGCAGGGTTCACACAAAATCAGAGTCACGCTCCGAGAACCCGAACTTGCGTGTGTTGTACAGCGCTGCAAAACTACTTCTGTCGCTATTACTAATTTCCACAAGGTGGCATCAACCCCCTCCCAATCAGCATTTTACCATGAACTGGATTTCTTGGTCTGGAGTACATCTTTCAGGTGCTCAGCCAGTGCTAAGGTCAGGGGAACTCTCCCACCGTAAGGCAGCCAAGGCTTTCTTTTTTTTTAGTGCAAAGTTTGTAGGAAGAGAAATATCTCTCTTATTAAATCAACTAGTCTATTGGAAAAAGTGAATAAGCTTTCAGACACAAAGACCTCTTGAGGTTGTGCTTCTATATGCACAAAAGTGGAAACATATTTCCTTCCACTCAGTTTTGGGTTTTTTTTCTTTTTAAATATGAGCCTAAAAACATTACAGAAAAATTCAAAAAAAATTTTAAACTATTACCCAAATATTATATATTACAGCAGTATCTAAGATATCGTAAACCCTACACAAAAGTAGTACTGCAAGCAAACAGCATGGCCACAAACACCTAAGGGGCATGGCATTTCTGCAAAATAGCATTCCTTATAATTAAAGACAATTTGTCCTGAATTCATCACACCTATTTTTAGGCACCAAACTGAGGCACTTAAATTAGAGCACAGACTGATATTACAGCTAAGTTCATCTGACAGCTCATTATCAACACACGTCACAGCCCCCCTGTGTCCTGTCAGCTATCCACATCTTTCACTTCGCTTGTGCCACTTGCTCTTGCCTAACCTTGCAGACGGGTTGTTCACGGGACTCAGCCGTCAGAAAACAAGCCACATTAAGCACAATTAATTTTCTATTTCTTCATCCCTCTGAACCTGTTCACTGCCCAGCTGTATGTCCAAGCATTAACAACAGCCCAAGGGAGGCAACAGTCACAGAGTGGGAGGACAGAAGGGCACAAGGGTGATCCCTTCAGGGGCAGCAACTCCTTCGGTGAGCTTGGGCACATCCCTCAGTCAAGAGAAAGAAGCAACTCATCCCATCTAAGGGATAGAGAGATCACAGTCTGCACGGAAGTACTGCAGTACTCGGGCTTCTCATTTAAGTGACTAAAATTACAAGGGATAAATTTGGCCTCTGTTCAAACACCTGAACCTTAAATCTTAAGTGGCTCAGCTGGGCAGACAGACTGTTGTGTAAACTCAAGGCACATCAGTGAATGACCCATACTGAAGAATCTCTAGTTCCATGCTGGCATCAGACTAGCCTGCAGGACTCAAGATAATACTTGTCTTAGTGTAACAAGAGTGTGACCATGAACTAATTGGTTTTCTTTATCTTTTGACAAACCATACACTATGTTAGGTTGTTTTCCTAAAAGCCTAGTTAACAATCCCTTTTTTACTTCCAGATTTTGGATTTGTGTGTTGCTGGGGTTTTTTAGTATCTCTTTTGGCTCACAACCTTTAAAAATAAAAACATTATCATCCAGCTGTACAGTGTCTGTACAGAGATCCAAATAGTCTTGAGAAACCTAGTCAGGGCAGCAAGCTCAATCAGTTACCTGACAAAGGGTAGCATATTTTTATTATTCCTTTTATAACTCCTCTCTCTCATAACTCATCGTCTTTTCAGTGAGCTGCTCTAAAGTTATTTTGCATCATTGTGAGAGTATATATGAGAAACTTTCTGAGCAGCTCTTAATAGTTCTGGGAGAACTATTCTTTGCCCATGCACACTGCAATTAAATATAAAAATGAAAATTACTTTAACAGTTTTGTGGGTGGTTTGTTTTTTTTTATAAATCAAAAGAAAACCAGTAATTCCAGTCCTGCTGCCCTGCTTTATGCAATATAAACAACTCATGAAAAAAAAGAAGGTATTTTATGGTCATATTATGCAACCATTTCCTATAAATTGTTAACAGTGGCACCAATGGTGGTTTGAGAAGAAAACACAGACTAAGAAATACATTCCATTTTCATTAGAATATATTCATCATTACGTTCTTCATATCTTTTTTTTTTAAAGTTTGTTCAATGTGTCAGAAAGATTTATGTCACAGAGGCAAGCACAACAATAGAGCAACCTTCCTCTGTAGCTGAGTAATAGTAGTAGGTAGATCCTCACATATGTTTTCATACTTTATCTTCCTTAGGGCACAGCAGGTGTAGGGGAAGAGGGTATATAAAGGGAAATACGTGACATGTCTTATTTGCATTACATTTATATGCAGAGTTTCTTTTGAGAGCTTCCACCATTTCTTGTGGAGACTGAGGCTTCCCTCATGCAAAGATACTGGCAGCTCATAATAGCCCCAATCACTAACCACTGCTTACCACAGCAACTGAAGTTTTTAAAACAGAAACAGCAGCCCATCTTTGCCTTTTTTACAGAAAAGGATACATAATAGATCTATCACCTGTGCACTGCCCCTTTTGCTAGTCATTTCGGTGGGTTTGGTGCATTTTAAGCAGAGAGTAGTGTGTAGCTGAACAGTCCCAATTAAAATACATGAGTAACAAATACATGCATACTAGCGTCTAAAGCTTTCAAATCTGTTACGAGAAATACAGTACTGTACTGGTTCTAGAGTAATGGACTGACCAGCATTCAGTTCACAGAAAAACCCCACGTGCTAAAGCCTACCTTACTGTGCTCTCTGTCCTTAATTCCAACACAAGTATCGCCGCTACAATACAGTGCTGTTTACTAACAAGGTATTTTCACAGATTCTCATTTCGTGTAACATCCAGGAATAGCTGCTTTTAGGATGCACTTGATAGTGTTTTCAGGACTATTCTACAGAGTTAGCTTAACATACTTGAGGGATCTCCATACACAAAAAGATGGAATACAACATCAGTATGTTACAGTACATTACGCATAGGCATACTGCTTTTTAGACTTAAAATGCCTGCAGTGCCAATATACATACATTTAGTAGAAGTGAGTTTACCTTATCCCAATAGCAAGTCAAATCCTGAACATGAAGAATGACATTCTCATTAGGACCATGCAGTTGTGGCTTAAAGTGCGAGACCTCATCGAGTATGAGAAAGTTCTGCAATAAAGGAAAATCACAGGATATTGTTTAATGTGAGACTGGGAATGGGAAAGGAACCTAAGCACATGTTTTTGGAAGCAGCATACAGAACTGGGGGGGAAAGGAACCAACCACAAACTGAACAAGGAATTATAGTTCTACAGCAATGTGCAACTCCTTCAACCCTGTACCTCTAACACGCAAATTGCTCCCCCCCAGCAAAAAAAAAAAAAAGGTGCAGATTTAATATTACAGAACTCTAACAATCAACTGCTCCATAAAACAGAATTCCTGAAGCAAATGGACCTTAAGAACCTGCCCTGTCTTTTCCTTGAAACACTGATGAATCTTAAAATTGTTTGACTCCCTATTCCCATGCAGAGGAGGCAAAACCCTCAGTGAAACACCTTATCATTCCACTGCTTTGATGGTAATGGTTTAAGTTGTTTTGCTTGGAAGAACGACGAGGACACTGTAAGAAGCTGTCCACTGTCCCTATTAAGCATTCTTCAAGTGACAATCAAGCTGCAGAGCACCATCTGAACCTCTCCTCCTTTTAAAGTACAGGACACTAACATAAAGAATGTTGTTTATTATGCCTGCATAACTGGTTGGTTGCACTTCCACATTATACCCCAGCCAGAGAACCTTTCCTTCAGGCTGCATTAACGTGCACTTCTGTACCACAGCCCCACTTGCAGCACACGTTGCCTGAAGCTGGGTTATAAATAGGTGAAACACACATAGAAAGGGGCAAATTCTAGAGAAAACATTCAAAGGATAACAGTTACCACAATTTTAAGACAAAACCAGAAAAACTCTATCATGCTTTGAATCCCAGAGCATAAAGACCTTGAACAGGCTCTAGCAGACAGTATTTTGAGGAAAGAAGGAAGGTCTTGATGTCAGAAGCCAAGACTAGTTAACAAGTACTGAGCTAACAGTTTACAGATGTGAGACAGCTGCTGAAGACCTACAGAAGTAGGTAAGAGGAAGCAGAAGGAGGATGCCAGGAGCCACGGGAGAGCTGTATGTGTTAACAGGCAGAGAGGTACTGCCCAAACTCCAGCTAAGCGCTGTTTTAGACAGGCAGGCCCAAATGGGTACATGTGTTAAAGAGCACTCAGGTAAGAGAGTGGCAGGCAGGGAAAGATACAGCTTAAATCAGTACTGGGGCGTGTGGCTTAAGAAAAAAGACCTCAGAAATGTGATTTGAATTTAAATGATGGCTGAAATACCACAGCAGTTAAAAGCAATGAATTGGTCTCTCACTGTTTCTGCGTTCACCAGGGATTTCTCTTCTAGAAGTAGCATTTGTCCCAGGTGTAAATCCTAGCTAACCATTTAACTAAAAAAATATTACAGTATGACATATGGAAGATGTCAAATAAAACTACCACGAATGAAGAAAAAGTTATATGGTTAACACCATGAATTTTAAACTGGGCGGGGGGAGGGGGGGAAATCAGAACCTTTCAAATGCAGTAAGTTTTAGAGATTAAGTTCTCTTAAAACATTATTCCATACTTTTTGTACTTAAAAGTCTTCCATGGAGAGAAAAATAAAGTTGCTACCCTCCAGAGGATGCTGAGAAGATTAGCTAGATATGACTGTGTCCTTGAAAGAGAAACCTCTGCCTTATGAACCCTGCTGAAACTTATCCTCTTTTCTGCATGTCTGCCAAAAGAACCCTCTGAGAAACAACCCCTCTCACTTTGTTTGACGAGGGGACCTCGAGCCTATTGCTCCATCACAAAAACGTGAATGAGCTTCAAGAAGTGATGCAGACCAGCTCCCAGTGTGTAGCCAGGGTGAGCAGAAAAAAATTAGCTGAAAAACACAGTAAGGAGACCACTATTCTTTTTGCCACACAGTTCTTGTGTATGTGTTAATGAACACAGAGGCAAGGCTACAACTTCCCACCTGACTATCTATCTTTATTGCCACCTGAAGTATAGTCTCTCCTGCTTTCTCTCCACCTGAACATACTTTAAGATCAGTGCACAAAACCTCACTTCTACAAAACCTAAGAGAAAGCATTATCTTAAAAAGAAAACCAGAAAAACACAACCACATTTTCAGTTTTGCCCAACTATAACTAGCCATTGTCTCAACCATTTCTTTCCCCTGTGTTTCCTACTCTTTTCTCTTAATTCCTTCCCACCGATTTACATTTCAATACCACATCTTTGGTCAGGCAGCATCTTGTCATTCAGTAGCAAAATGTCCAACCCTGAAACAGTTTAGGAAATGGAAGATAAGTTGGTGACAGCATCCAGGATGCTACAGATTCATTAGGATAATTATTTGCCCTATGAACCTCAATTCTCGAGCTGGTTTGATCCTTGAGGAATAATACATGCAAGGGAGTTGGAGCCAGCTGTCAGAAGGAAAATCATGTGACCACTAGGATGTGCTGGAAACAGAGACAAGAGGGGGGAAAAAAGGAACAAATCCTCCCTCTCTCTGCTCAAGTGCCACCCTCCCGTTGTTCCTAAGGCATCTTCTTCAGCCGTCCATGTCCCTCAACCCGTACGGCTTGAAAGAGCATTGCCCTACAGCTGAATACACAATGTATGAGTACAGAAAACACAGTGTGCAACATCCAGTATCCCATGCACTTCTCTCCCCTCCCACAGTTCAGTTTAAGCAATAATAAATGTTAATGCCTATAATATTGCTGTGGTCATGATTTCCACACACTAACCTTTTTTAACTCCATTTGCATCAACTTTTACAAAATGCTTCTTTGAAGTGCAAAGATTACCTGTTTAATACATAGGTTCTTGGTGCAGGCTTAGTACAGTCAGAAAATTTATCAGCAAACCGAGTGATTTATTATATTCAAACACATAGGGAAGAAAATAAAATAGGAGGTTTTTAGCTACTTTGATCAAAAATGGCATAGTGACACTATGCAAAGCCATATGATCATATCTGAAGTGTTTGTTTTTGCTATTCTAGACTAGATTAACCTATTTTTTTTCAAAAATTAAGTTCTAAAATGGCTGGCATGGTTTAATTCTGTATTTCGAAAACCTGATGATTTGGGATTAAGTTTTACATTCAAAATACATTTTGCATTTAAGTCTTCCGCTCTTGCAATCTATGACAAAGGACTAGTAGACACAGCAAAAAAGACTATTTTATTCACAACATGCTAAATGCAGCAAACCCAACAAAATAAAGCCCGTCTGCCTGAACTGGCAGAATTACTGATGCTCATCCTTACTGAATTTGAGTCTTCACTCCAGTACTGAAAGCAGCCAAACTGAAAAGGCTGCTTTTGTCTGTGACATCTAAAACAATGTTAGAATAAGAGAAGAAATCCACATACCATTCAAATCAATAACCATACCTTGATTCGTCGTATGCTAACCACCGCCTCGGATACTCTCTCAACAGCCGCAGGGAAGAACAGAGTTACCGTCAGTCTTACTGCACCGTACAGGGACACCGCAACAAACACCCGACTTGCAGAGATAACATTGCCAAGTAGCACATATGCCATGAAAGTCATGAACACTGTTATTTTGCTTGCCACAAAGAAAGAGGCTAAGTTCAGTCCTCGAAGGTAGGAGCTTTTCATAACCATGGCAATCTCCTTCCTAAAAATGCAAAATATAAATCATCCCATCAATCTCTCTGATTACAGCTGCCCTCAACAACAGGATGAGGGAAACCCATTCTCTGGATTTTACTTTCATATCCTTCCTCCTCCCCCTGCACCACCCCAATTCATACGTAAAGAGCTGTAAAGAAAGTATGTTACACAGTAAATTACAAAAGAGAATTTTAAAAAGTTAGAAATTGAGTGGGAAAAATCATTACATTTAATATCTTAGTAACTATAGAAAAGAATTATTTTTCAGAGACAGAAGACCTAAATACTTTATTTTTTCTGCTTGGGTCAAACTAGTATTTTAATTCAGATTCTAATTTACTCAGAATCTTTCTGGGTTGCATACAAGAGCAAAAAAATCTCTGTATAAAGGCTAAGCACCCACAAACTCCTCCTTCCAATATCAAAATCCAGCAGATCTCAGTCAGAAAAATCCTGATAAGATAACACATACTCTGCAGCTGAAAGAACAGGGCAACTTCCAAAAGATCAAGAGTTCACCCATGGCCCAAGTATCTGCCATTATTCAGCTGCTGCTCATCAAGCTGGATCACAGGATCTGCAGTACTTCCTCTGATCTGAGTCTAAATCCTTCCCAGTTTTGGACCCTGCTCCTGGCTTCTTTTGCTACTGAAATTCTGGTTCCTAACCAGAAAATTCCTAATTCAGAAAATACTCATGTGCAAGGCTGATTGTTCTGCCAGCCATTACCCAAGCAAAATAGTGTTTGCAGTACTGCACAGACACTCCCTCCAGCAACTGAAAAGCTACTGATGCTTATGTTCTCAATTTCCACTTCAGTTAAATTTCAGTTTCCACTTCCAAATGACTCATCAAGTCCAAGCCTCAAAATGTTACTGCACTATCTACAATGTGGATGCCATCAGGCTGAACTTCCTATCAATAATAATAGTTTACCAAGAGAGCCATAACAACTTGCTCCTTCCTCATATATTCTAATTTTATCTGCTTGAAATCATATAGAATACAAAATCCTGAAACAATTCCTAATTTCTCTTCCCAAATATTCTGGCAATTATCAGGGAAAATCTTGATCATTTTGATTATCTTCCACTTGGAACTAAAATTAGAAACTCAAGTTACAATTATACATTTTGAAGTAGATCAGGTCCTCGCTTCACAGAATCACAGAGTGGAAGGGGTTGGAAGGGACTTTCAGAGACCATCGAGTCCAACCCCCCTGCCAGAGCAGGAGCACCTACAGCAGGTTGGACAGGAATGCATCCAGGCAGGGTTTGAATGTATCCAGGGAAGGAGACTCCAGCCCTCTCTGGGCAGCCCGTTCCAGTGCTCTGGCACCCTCAGAGTGAAGTTTTTCCTCATGTTGAGATGAAATTTCCTGTGTTCCAGTTTGTACCCATTGGCCCTTGTCTTGTCACTGGGCCCCACTCAAATGAGCCTGGCCCCATCCTCTTGACACCCACCCTTTTGATATTTATAAGCACTGATTAGAACCCCTCCCAGTCTTCTCCAGGCAGAATAGGCCCAGCTCCCTCAGCCTTTCCTCCTAAGAGGTGCTCCATTCCCCTGGTCATCTTCGTAGCCCTCCGCTGGACTCTCTCCAGTAGCTCCCTGTCTTTATTGAACTGAAGAGCCCAGAACTGGACACGATACTCCCGGTGTGGCCTCACCAGGGCAGAGTAGAGGGGGAGGATAACCTCCCTCAACCTACTGGCCATGCTTTTAACGGAGAGAAGGCTGCAGGATGCACTACTGGAAAACTAGTTAAGCAACTTTCCCACTATACTTGCCAAATTGGCTGAATTGACAGAAGTTCAAAGAGTTTCAAAGACTTATTTTGTCAGCTTAAGGTCTCACAATCTCTGATCTCCTCCAGAGCACAGTGAAAGAACATTTGCATGTAAACTATTTGAACTGGGTCTAATTCAATTACTTCTACAATCCTGGACGAAACTC